TCACTCAGCTTCAAATTAACCCCAAATAAACTAAACTGAATAAAGAGCAAAACAACCAAAGAAAAATAACAAAAATACTAAGTCTAATCTAAATTAAACAAAGTAATCAAACACTCAAAGCAAATATGATTATCAATAATACTAATGATATATCAAATAGCTCCTACAGTCTCCTTTCATATTACGCCTACAAATGTCTCAATGTTAAGCATATAAAATTAGCTTTAAATTCAGACTTCCTGTCAGTGTTTATTCCAAATGACCCTGTAATCCTACTAATGACTCCTAGTGATTGCTTTGTTTTTTTAATGTCTATGTATGTTTGTTTGCATGTGTTCATATTCTAAATCTCAACAGTTCAACGATATAAACCAGGATGTAAATGTGACTGCTACAGGAAAAGGACAAGCAACACTGACAGTAAGTGATACACATTTTTGTTTTATATTTTAGCATTTGTTGTGTATAGTTGTGTCTGTTTTAATTCTGGATTAGAGAAAAAAAAAAACAATCGGGCTCATTCATTAACAACTTCCTAAGTATTTTTTTTTTTTAATTATGTTATCTTAAGAAATGTCCTGAAGTCTACATCTGATTCATGAACGTGTTCTTAAACCACAGGATTTTTCTCACCTGTGTTCTTACATTGATGATTCCCACTGTCTTCATAAACTGAGCATGTGCCAGTCTTTCCTAATAAGCATAAATGCCCCCCCAATGCACACACAAGAATCACACAAAAAGTGACAAAAATAAATAAATAAATAAAAGTTGAGTGATTCAAAAACGCCAAAATGAAAAAGATGGTGGGGCACTGGACACCAAAAGAAACAAAATCTTTAGCAGTTCTGAAGTGGAAGTTACTGCTGCAGGATGTGAACAGCAAACGAGTTGCTATATTTAGTAGGATCGGCACTAGATCTAAAATAACACACACAAAAGATGGGATGGGATGTTATAGCTAGTTCAGTGAACACTAGCTGAAGAAGTGAAATAAAAGGTTTGATGTCATATCTGACGTAAGAAAAGTATTGCCAAAGACAGACAAGAGACGCTGACCACTGGAGGAGAACAGGTTTGCTCAGTGGTACTTTATCTGAGCTGGACTGGTGCATTGGGGCCGTTACTGGAAACACAACAGTGTCAGGTGTGCCATCAGCTGAGCATCTTTACACAGACTTGGGCTCCATTTCAGCGGTTTCACCTTCTAGGCCATCTCCTGTCTGAGGTGTTCTGGGCATGTCCCACCGGGAGGAGGCCCCGGGGAAGACCCAGGACACGCTGGAGGGACTATGTCTCTCGGCTGGCCTGGGAACGCTTCGGCCTTCCCCCGGAGGAGCTGGAGGAAGTGTCTGGAGAGAGGGAGGTCTGGGCATCTTTGCTTAGACTGCTGCCCCCGCGACCCGGCTCCGGATAAGCGGAAGAAAATGGATGGATGGATGGATGTGTTACATTTAACATGTACTTACTAGTGTGTAAAACCTAACACCAGGTGATTATTTTTGTGTTCACTGCATGAGCATGTGTTCAAAAAGCATCAGCTTAGTGCAAATCATGCTCTCCTTAGCCTCTCAAAGCCCTCCCCTTAATGCCAAAACAGTAACAGAGAACTGAAATTGAAAGAAAAAACTCTGGCATCAAGAAACACTGATATAAAATCAGAAGGCTGTCACTGAACAAAACAACTTGAGCACTGAAAAAGACTTATGTTAACAAAAAAATCAGAAGGTTGTCATTTTTTCAGTATTAATACTTTATTAATACTTTTTAAAATTACAGTGTTTTTTCCAATACAAATATTCCAGTGCCAACTTACACACAGCATTTCATGTGCACGGGTCCTTTTACAAAGGTCAAACAGATTAAACAATTATTTAAACAGTTTTGCAAATACATAACATAGCACTATATCATTTTATCAAGAATTTCTTTCTACATAAAACATCGACTCTTTAGTCTACCTTAGGTCTTCTAGCTAACAGACATCATCGCTTTACTCTAAAAGATTGCTTTATATATATATGAATGAGACCTTCTAAGAGATTAATGAAAGCTCAGTAATAACAGAGCTTCCTGACACTTATTACCTAGTAATGCAACAAGATAAGATCCTAATACAGCTGTACACAGTGGTACTGGTTTTCTTTTCTTAATAATTTTTCTTATTACTTTTGCCTCTGTGACAGATGGTCGCAGCGTATTATGTTTTGCCTCAAGAAGAAGACAGTGACTGTCAGAAGTTTGGCCTTACTGTGCAGCTCCTCCCAGGTCACTTGGTGCCCTCTGTCTCTTTCTGTCTTTTGTTGATTTTTGTTTTAGCTGCCTTTGTCTTGTTTGTATTGTTTCAGTTATTTGCTTGTATGTCTCTTGTTTGCTGCCAAGTATTTTTTATGAAGAAAATCAAATAACCAAAAAACTCTTTTGTTTCTCCAGAGAAAATAGATCAGAGTGAGGAAGTATACAACCTGAGAATATATGTTTTGTAAGTACAGTATGTGTCGCAGTCACGACTTAACACAACCATCACCAACACTACTCATTCTTGTTTATGTTCATTTTCACCCTTGTCGTATTTACCTACCTTCTCTTTCCTTGACATCACCACAGACTGACAGCTGTTGCACATTACTGCTCTCTCTCTTCTATTAACATCTCATCCTGTGTTTTTAGTTATAACAAATTTTCAAGCCATTGAAAAATTTTCCAAAGGTGGCTGGGTTAAAAATTTGACAAATATCTTTTTTTTCTCACATATCTTTTGTATTTAAGTTATTCTGTCTATTCTTTGTACAGGTATAAGGACAAGGAGCGTGATGCATCCATGTCAATCTTGGATATTGGCTTGTTCACTGGCTTCACTGTCAACATAACTGACTTGGACTTAGTAAGAGTTTATATGCACATAAACTTACAAACACAGGTTCAGACAGTCTTTCTTGTTTGTGCTAACTGTTAACAGCGTGTGTGTGCACATGTGTAGTTGTCTAAAGGACGTGCCCGTATCATTTCAAAATATGAGATGGACACACTTCTCTCAGAAAAAGGCTCCCTCATCATCTACCTGGACAAGGTAAGACAGTCTTTCCTCCTGTCCATTACCTTATTTTTCTGTTCATCACTGTTCTGTCGGAAAGAAGCTCGCTCTTCATCTTCTTGGACAAAGTAAGTGTTTCTGTGTGCCAAGACAACCAGGCACAGGGACAGCTTCTTCCCCCAGGCCGTCACTCTGATGAACACTTGACCCACGACAGTATGACTGGACAATAATCCTCAGTGCAATACCTGTAAATATACCTTGTACAGATTATACAGATTTGTACAGGTCTCTATTTTTAAGTACTCTGTTTTTATTCCTATTTATCTCATTCACAATGAGCATTCCCTTGTCTGTCTGCATCGTTTACTGCCTGCTTATACTGCTTATTTTGTTATACTAGCCTTATGTTGTTTACTGTTTACTTGCCCCTTGCATGGGGATATGTACATTCACACTGAGAGTCGATGTACCAGAGTTAAATACCTCGTGTGTCCAACACACTTGGCCAGTAAAGCAGATTCTGATTCTAATTCTTTTCTGAACTCCTTTTGCTCTGCCTCCTTTTCTCAAAATCAAATTGAAATAGGTTTTATGGTGAAAGCTTGTTTCCAGTTTTTGATTTTGTAGGCAAATCAAAAACAGAAAAAATGGATAACAAGCACTCGTACTCTATTTTGGTTTTTTCATCTGACACAAGTGGTGTGACCGGGAAGTGACTTATATAGCATGACTCAATGGTTTTACTTTAAAGCTGTGAGAATCCGTATGTCATTTGTTTTTCAAAATAAAACCAAAAATTTCAAACAGGAAAAAATGACTTATTTCAATATTCTTTTCAAAAAGCAAAGCAAAAGCATGGATAATGATTTGTTTTCAAATTTTGTGGTCAAATAAAAAGCAAACACTCACATTCCATTCTCTTGTTTTATTGTCTGACATTGTGAATGTGAGTGTTTTTTCACATAAACTGTTGCTGAATACAAAACCTTCTGACTGACATTTCTGAGCATCTCAGGACACTTAACAGCCGCGGTGCAATAGAAATCTTAGCATGGAACTTTGGTCTGTGTACATATAATTCATTTGTGATACCTACAAACTCTGGAGATCAAACTATTGGAAAGGAAGCAGAAAAAGAGTCACCAGCGCCCAGGATTTTTAAAAATGACATTTAGAAAATTCAGCAGTAAGTTAGTTTTCCAAAAACAGCATCCTGCCTAGCCCACTGACCTCACTGTGAAGAGTTTTCAGAAAAAGTCTCCATAAAATGTGTCAGCAGCAAGGTCTGCTCTTATGTATGTGCATTTTATTTTCAAAAAGAACTAAAATTGATCAATTGTGCTTCCCTCTCTGTCACACGCATACTCTACTTTTGTTGTGGATTTTGCCGCAGGTTTCTCACACACGACCAGAGGAGATTAGTTTTAGGATCCATCAGAAGATGAAAGTGGGTGTCTTACAGCCAGCTGCTGTGTCTGTCTATGAATATTATGACCGTAAGTAGCAAAGACACTGAGAAGTATATGCAACTTTAATGTGTTTCAAGATTTTTCTTTGCTGCAAATAGATGTCAGAATAGATAACAGATAAGTGGGCACTTTTATATTTTCAGAGTAATGTATATTTTCTGATGTACCACAACACAGTTGATCAAATATCTTTGTTGCAGAAAAACGCTGTGTGAAATTCTACCATCCAGAGAGGAGAGCTGGACAGCTGAAGCGGCTCTGTAGGAATGATGAATGCATATGTGGCGAAGGTAAAGAGGAAACTGTCTGAACATGGAAGCTTTAACGCTTAAATTTGTTACACCATGAGGGTACAAGTAAAGACTAACTTTGTGCGTCCTAAAGGTAAAGCGCTGATTATTTGTCATCCTGCATTGTCTTACTTTAGCAAGTCAGCATTGCAGTAAAGTAACGTTAGATGACTTGAGACCAAGAGCTGGTTAAACAAAGCTAAGAGTCTACACCCAATCTAACAGCTTTTAATAGTGCACCAAGATAAATTTTAATGTTAACATTAGGGTTGTGACAATACACTTAGCTCACGAGATGAGACAATACACAATAACAAGTTCACAAGAATAAGACGAGATGATATTTTAACACTATTTTCAAGAAATCTTCAATGACAAAATATACGTATGACTGGAAAAATCATATTTTATTCGACTGAAAGTCACAAAATGCAAAACAGTGCAGGTGCATTTTGAAATGTTTAAACTAATCATCTTGTAATGACTGTGACCTCCGTTCTACTTTGAGTAGGAATTATCATATGCAGTTAAAAACAACATGCAGGTTTTGCCACAAACTCAGCTGGCTGGCTTCTCTCCTGTACAATTTCATGAATCTCTTCAGACCTTATAACTGTGCATGAACTATGCACGAGCTTCTAACTTCTAAGTGAAGCTCTGTGTGACCTTCTATGCTATTTTCACCCTCACTGCACTGGATGGTGACATCATCCGGCAAAGGCTCTGTGTTGACCAATCACGTACGGGGGACAATTGGGGACATGTACTCCCACAGGAAGGAGACTCTTTTTCTTACCTTGTTAGCATGAACATTCACTGCTATTCACTGTTGAACTTGAGCCACAGTTAACACACCATAATGACATGCCATGCATTATCATTAGTGCTGGATGTTAAACTGTGTTTGTTTGTTTGTTTTTTTTATCTATCAATGCCGACACACTGGTGGTAGACTTGGTGCTAAGGTAGAGTAGGCTACATTAGCAGCATGGCTAACCAAAACACAAAGGAAACTCGTGTGCTGGAAATGTGAATGACTCATCACAATGTGTCTAATAGGACATTTGTGCCAATTTTGAAGAAATTCCATTCATAAGAATTATATGGACAGACAGAGTGCAATCTGAAAACATAATGCCTCTGGCCGCAGCTATCACAGTCGCAGATGCATAAAAAACAAACACACTACACAGGTATAGCAATAGCTCGTGCACCATAGATGCAGACATGCCCATGTGCTCATTCATTTGAGTCATCAGTTGTATTTTCACTCTTTGCCAATTGTTTATTTCCAGAGAACTGCAGTATACAAAAGTTCAAAGTCAGAAACACTTACCGTAGTGAAAAGGTTTGTGAGATCACATCGACCAGCAAAACAGATTTTGGTAAGTGTTTGTGAGTCAGTGACATGTGAATGAGTGAGCGAGCAAGCAGTAACACAACAATGTGCAACTTGTTTCCTGTCAGCATACAAAGTAAGAGTGGAGAATTATACAGAGGGCTTGTCCACTGACACTTACCAAGTGCGAATAGTGAACGTTATTAAAGAAGGTGAGTGTTAGTCTTCTCTTTCCCATGTGGCCATTTTCCTTTCCCTCCTTGTGGTGTATTTAGTCAGACAAAATCCTTAGCCATTTATACATGAGAAGTTTAGGAGAATGTCAAACATTTTAATGCTGTGTATCTACTGTACTTACTTATGTTATAATAAGGGGAAGTTTGGATGGTGACTATGTACAGTATCTCCTTTGAACTTATCTACTGTAATGTTTCTTACAGTGGCTTAAAAGTGACATAGCCATCACCCAGATTGTTTTTCCAGACAGGCAGAAAAAAATCTTAAGTTTTTTTGTATTTGAAATTAGTACAACAGTATATGAAACCTGTTGTGTCATTAATTATGTTCCCCTGCATTCTCTTCTCCTACTATATAATTTAATTGCAGGAAGTCTTGATGTGGACCTTCTGGGCAAAGTGCGCACATTTCTCAGTCATCCTCACTGCAGGGAAGCTGTAGATATGAGAAAAGACAAAACTTACCTCATCATGGGCACATTCAAAGATGTTTATAGAGATGACCAAACATTCTCGTGAGTTTGTTCTGTGTGTGTGTGTGTGTGTGTGTAGCTGCTCTTGTAATATTGTCACTATTTAAACATTTTAACTATTTCCCTGCTTTATATTACTGCATACAACATACAGTCCTTGAGCACATAAAGCATGCCTACATTGTAATTATTGTTTGATGGTGGTGTTTGAGTCATGTAAAGGAGTTATTAAATTATCTTAACATGTAAGCACAGCAGCACTATGTACAGGACAACCGAGTGGAGTAGAATGGTTAGAGGGTTTCAGTCATTTGTATTAATTTACTATAGGTAAATGCATGCAATGACAGCTTTATCAACCTTTCTGTAACAGTCACAGTTAACCTTTATTTAGATGTTGAATTAAACTGATCTTCAAGTTGGAAACTATAGTATTTCACTAAATTTACATAGTTAACCATTCCTCCATAATGGTTCCTCCAAGTTTGCCTTGTTTTTTTGATAGAATCGCTAAACTGTCTGCAGAGTGACTTTGCACCAGAAACAAACCCAGTTTATATGTGTCTATTATCTTAGCACTGTGTTAAATACCATACAAACAGATAAAGTAAATGTCAAGGTCAACAAAATATGTCACTGCTTGTACTGGTCATAGCACAAAAATATAACTCTGAATGTTTAGTTTTTTGTGAAGCAAAACTCATTTGTATTTGCTGTGATATTTATCTTTTATTTTTATTCCACCATGTTGTAGATTGTAGAATGAGTTATGAAAATAAATGAACTGCATGCAGGTGGCCTTGAATAATTCTATTTCCCTAAGAACAAATATCTAATAATGTGAAAACTCATTGTATTTTTCACTTTGCTCTCCACAGATATCAGTACATGCTCGGTGGGAGAACCTGGATCGAGTACTGGCCCACAGAGGAAGAGTGTCAAGATGAGGAGCACAGACCCACCTGCTTGGGTATAGTGGAAATGATCCAGCAGTACTCAGTCTCTGGATGTCAACAAAAGTAAAACTCAAGGAGATAAAAATGTTCTTTTCAAATTGTTTGACTTTGAATTGTCCTTGTTGTGTAAAACATTCACTACTATGAGATATATGGGATTCAGAAGATAAAGTTTTACATTGCTGAATAAAATGTTACGGTCTTAATCTCATTGTCTGTGGCTGATATACAGATTTACTTCTGGTTAATGTCACAAATTAAACAAGTAGTGGTTACTGTATGGTGACTATATAACAATCTATGATCAGTTCAACTAGACAAAGCAGTTTAAGGTTTGATAATTTTGCTCTCAGCCAAGTGACACAAAGTAAATTCAGGGATATAGACAAACAAATTTTAAAGCTGTGATTCA